ATATTCCAGACGCTCCTCAAAGAGTTACAGAAATCCAGAAGGGAGGTGGAGCGGAGGCGGATTGGGGGAAGTATGGTGGGCCAGGCCCGTGTGTTAAAATAAGGCCTGGAGACAGAGGTAGACCATGGAGCCAGGGTGGAGCTGGCAGAGCAGGAAGCCAGGGAGGAGCAGAAGACCACCAGGGCAGAGCAGATGGGACTGAAGATCCCCACGATGGAGCAGAAGACCACCAGGGTGGAGCAGATGGAGCTGAGGACAACTTCAGCAGAGTTGATGGTGAAGCGGGCCACCTAGCTGGATCAGGCGGGAAGGCTGCCGCCAACACAGGACTGATCTCTGGGGCTTTAGCTAGTTCTAGAGCAGATTCATAGAAAAGAGCAGGCAATGGAGTGGACTCTTGGACTGGAGAAGTCTCTGGAAGGGACTCATGGACTGGATCGGGGCTCTGTAGTGGACTCATGGATTGGATTGGGATCTGGAGCAGATTCATGGACTGGAGCGGACTCATGGACTAGAGAAGGCTCTTGGAGCAGACTCATGGACTGGAGCGGGCTCTGGAGTGGATTCATAGACTGGAGCAGGCTCTGGAGTGGATTATTGAACTGGAGCGGGCTTTGGAGTGGATTCATGAACTGGAGCATGCTCTGGAGCGGATTCATAGACTGGAGCGTGCTCTGCTGCCTCAGAAGAGTGCATAGCCCAGACACACAAAATGGTGACCACCATGCTCTGAGAATCTGAGAATGCTGTCGAGGTCCTTGGAATGCCTGTTGCTCGCACCAACATCAGGGGTGAATCCGCCACACTGGACATCAGTCTTGGTTGCCTGGGTACTGCCTTACTAGCTTCAAGTGCAACATACTTGACGGCCAGGGGAACCCTGATGTGGCATCCATGATGGCTGAAGACTGTGGCATGAGATCCATGACAACTGGAGTGGACATGTTGGCTGGAGGCTCTGGCGTGGTAGTCATGACGGCTGAGAACTCTGGCATGGTGGCCATGACGGGACGAGCCTCAGGATTGACAGGCATTTTGTAGAGAGGCTCAGGAGTGGAAGACAATAAAAACTCTGGGCTTGTGATCCTCAGTGTAGGGCATGCTGGAATCCATGGACAGTCAAGCTCCTTGGCCACCAGAGCTTGCCGCCTACTGCCCCCTCCCGCCCCCTCCCAAAAAGTGTTTAGGGGTAGCGTCCTCCTCAACCTCCCTTACTGTAAAGGGAGGTCCACAAATCTGCAGGACAAAGTCAATAAACTGTGCCAGGGTCCAGCTGGGGTCTTCTTCTGGAAAATTCATGCTAATATCTGGATCAAGTTAACTCCAGAAACAGTCACCAGGCACAAGGTGGCTATTCAAAAGGAACTCCTCTACATAAGCCTTAATACTACGACCATTTTGAAAAATTGAACAAAGTTGGCTTAATGGATCACAGAGAGTACCTGCTGAGTTTATTTAGTGGTTTCTGGTTTTGCTGCTAGATCCATCTTCTGGTGAGTCGTTCTATTATGATGGTGGCAAGGGCGAGATGAGGCGAGGATCTAAATGCAGCAAAAGTTTACTAAAGAAGAACATAGACAAGGATAATCCAACCAGGATTAGGGAACACAATCCAGACAGGGAGCAGGACTGAAAACAGCAAATACAATGACTTACACTGACTGACTAAAACACACAACTTATATAGTGAACACGAAACTAAATGACACACAGTTGGAAGAAATTTAATCATAATGATTCCAAGCAAAGGATAATGGGAAATGTAGTCCATGACAGAATGTAAAGGACTCAGGAGGACACTTTATCTATTCTAAAGACATAGCCTCTTCCATTTTGGCATGCTCTTCGTTGAATTTGTTTGCACGTTATTTGAGAATAGTTTAACTTAAATTTGAATTTCATATTTTTTGTGTCAGCATGATCTGAAGTAAAAAGTAGGAAAAAAGTAGGTTTTTAGGAAAATTTTTGAAAATTTTTTGACCCAAGGAATCAGAGGAAAAAAGAATTCTGAGCCCTTTCGGTTTGAAAATTATATAGCATGAATGTGTGTGAATTTGTTATGGTTAATGTGAGGCGGTCCTAAATCTGTGTACTAAATTTCATATCTTTGCAGAAAGTGGTTCAATAGGGTGCCACAGACTAAAAAGCAGAAGTAGAAGAAGAAGAACGCTAATGGATACAATAGATGCCTATGCACATTTGGTGCTTGGCCACTAACAAAACAAAAAACTAAATCCAGTAGAACAGTTCTAAAATGAAACTTTCTTAAATGCTCATAGTTCAGTCATGAAGGTAAATAAATTATGACAGAATTTTAAAATTTGACTGACCTATCCCTTTATGTCAGGCACGTGTCAGTTTAAGGTATGCACTTATACAATATTAAAATGGACAAAGATAAAATGGTTCACAAAAGCAAAGTACTTTCAATGTGTAGGCATACAGCAACACTTAAAAACCACCACAAAACCCACCCCACCACACACCGATCATACTTATATGGATTGAAGACCCTAATGGTCACTTGGTCAAGCAGATGAGGTTGTCTGCATGGTCAGCAAAAATCCAGTGGACAAACTTCATTAGGTTGGCATCTTAGTCCATTAGTCTACTCTCGATTTCGGTCTGAGTTGTTCTAAAAGGCCTTTTTAATACTGATAAATCTTATTCTAGAATGGTGCGCAGTTGGCAGTATTTGATCTATACCTATCTATCTATCTATCTATCTATCTATCTATCTATCTATCTATCTATCTATCTATCTATCTATCTATCTATCTATCTATCTATCTATCTACACAACCAATGCATAGCAGTGAAGCATTTGAGCTCAGTAGTGAAAACAAGTACACAATTTTAAAGGACTCTGTTTCTCTTTAAAATGGCAAAGTGATCAAATGTCCATAAAAGAAGGAATGAGTCACTTCTGAAAAAAAGACCAGTGAGTCAGCATCTCTATCTCTCTCATAAACAGCCTGCAGATGATGAGTAAGGACCTATCGGTATCAAAAACCTGCTCTGATTCATGAATAATTGATCAAAGGATCACAAGGTAGCTACACTGACACAACATACGTGGCCCCTGCATAACAAGCACTTGCCTACAGGTGTCATATGGAAGTTTGTCACAATAAAATGAGAAAGCAAAACCACGTGAAGGTTGGAAAGGCCAAGATGTCCACCCAGTTGTCATAATTGTGTTAGAAGAAAACAATATCAGAAACAGTGTATTGGGTGCCTGTTTACTGTGGGTCATACACACATGCGCACACACACACTCCTAAGATGATGCAGCAGACAGATCATCATTGAAGAGCTGCAACATTTTAAACTCTATTGATTAACGTGTGCAAGAGAGGGCAGGCAGAGCAATACGTTTTAAATTCATGCCAGTAGTCCTTGGCAACACAGAAATGACTGAGCTGCTGAACTGCTGCAAGAGACGTGACATCGTCCAAAATCCTCCACTTAAGATAATGAATATTGCAATTTGTCCTCTTAACAAGGGCAGTTCTAATGCAAACTCTCTTTGGATTTCCCGTAAGCACATGTCAGCTGGACTGGGTGATGTCCTGCACCTGTATACCAAGAACCTTTGATCAAAACAACCTTGATATTGGCAGCTGGGAAACACAGGCAGAGTGAGACAGAGTATGGCAAGCTACTTCAACATCATCATCATCGTCATCTTTCCCCTCCCCCTTTTTTGCCTTTGAATTCTATGGGATCTGTAGATCAGATATCACTTATTCACTTCTGACAATTATGCATTACAATTGTTCCTGCTACCTATTCCATGTCTTCTAAGAATTAATTAGGTACTATTAATTATAATTTAGTAACTATGCAGTTTCTAGCATATTTTCCAGCTTTTCTAATACTAGATAAGTAGACATGAGTAATAGATACAGTTGTTACTGGAAACATTTAAAAAATAAACCCATTTAAGATTTATTTGAACTTAGCAATTCTGATTAGTCATTATATATGACAAATAAAAAGTGAATATAGTTGGTGATATAAGAAGTACTACCAAAGCACATCACTTTTTACACGTATGCGAGGGATAGCGTACAGTGCGTGTGACGTGAATTTCATCATCATAGTACTGAGCGTGCACCACCAGATTTTTGTAATGTCTCATATGCACATTGAATTTGTTTTGCAGACCCCAGTTGTTCCACAAGGTGGCAACACTGTCCTGGGCCGTTGTTTCACAGTAGAAAACAAAACTAAAGAGACAAAACAACAACAATAAAATAGCAGAGACTACAACAAAAACAGACAATCACACTGACAAGCGCTTTTGAGTGAGAGGATATGAGATAGCTCAGCTGTGGTTTAAAAGAGTTCAAAAATATTTGTTATCGGTCATAACTTATTGGGGAAAAATAGAGCAGACACTGGACATGGATGAAGCTTTCAAGAGCACATGTGTCTACCACCTGTGTTCATACACAATATCAAATGGAGTATAATTGGAAAGTGAAATGCGTTTCAATGTACGCATATACTAGTGCATACGATACAAAAAAGTATACTTTGGGCTTAAGAATGATATATGGATAATAAGGACTAGTAAAACTGGTCCTTATAGACGATCCTGCTTGTTCCCCTTGACAGCAGTGAATGGTTATTAGGAAAATTGCTAAATTTAATAGTTTTGGTGAAACTGAAAAAGAAACAAATCCTTATTGGATTACGTAGAAGTACTTAAAATAAATAGCAATTAGTAACAAAATAGCTAGATAACTAGTAGATTGAAGGCATAAGGGTTAAGAGGGCTTGCCACAGAGTGCGAATAGAGAGAGAGAGAGAGAGAGAGAGAGAGAGAGAGAGAGAGA